AATGTAGGCTGCCAAGCCCAGAACCTGGCATAAATCAAGCCCAACTCTTAAGAAATTGAAATATAAAAAAGGAATAATTTAATACAGAAAATACACACTTCTTTCCCTTACTCTCAGCCTTACAACATGATGGGTCTCCTGTGGGCTTCTGTGGCTGGCAGATTCACCAGTGACTGTGAGGAGGGCTCAGAAAGAACTTGAAGGACTAAAACCCACTTCCCTAATCAGAGGGAGACAGTTCCCGTGCACTCTACAGGCCACTAGAGCAGCAGCTGAAGACAAGACAAATCCCAATTTCATGACTTTCAGTTAGGTCCCTGGCTTCTTGCATTTGTTGAAGACAAAGCAAAGCTAGTTATTAGCTGTCCGCCACGTTTCCTAACAGAACTTCCCTACCTCTGAGGACAAAAACCACAAGGGCAGCCTGTTCTTTCACAGTCCTTTTCTGGTGCCACGTTCAGAAACAGAATATTGGGGTGTATGTTTTATATTTGTAAATATTCAACAAGCCTAAAGATGAGCAATACCCTGTTTCTGCTTTACTTAACCGGCACAATTTGGTACTGGAAGGGAGGCAGCCACTTAACAGCAACAGCATTTGTTGGTATCATCTTAGTTTTTTCCTCCTTTCCTAGGCAGATTTTAAAAGGTGATTTCTGAAACCCTTCACAATAGAAAAGCTCAAGGGTTTACATTCAACTGTGACATGACTGAATTCATGAAGAAGCATGTTTCAGGTTGCACTATAATTTCCCTATGTAACATAAGCCCATGGAATCTGACATAAGCTGATTGCTCATGCTGTTATTTTATTTACATTTCTGAATGGAAGGGATTTCAATACTCATAAAATATCTAACTGACTTATTATTTTTCATCTGTTCTCCCAGAGCAGCTATTATAAAATAGGCATAGAGACAGAAGGCTCAACTTGTATGACTGGTTAAGTAAGCAACCAGGGAAAAGTTACTGCTCAAAAGCAATTTTTAAAAAATTCAATAAGGAGCTTGCGGCCAAACAAGAGATATGGTTATTCTCAATGCCGTCGGCAAGATAAACGTTAAGGAACTGCATTCGTGATCTCTGTCCAGCTGACTCCTATGGGAGCAGGTGGCTTCACAGGAACTTAGGGGCCCACAGTTACTCAAGTCTTCCTAGAGACCTAGCACCAGCAGACACAATCTAGTGTACATGGGACACGGGTGAATGGGGAGAAGGATTCTCCTTACAACCCAGATATATAAATGTGCCTTTATGGCGTTCCCCCTATAAAAAAGGAGAAATATCCAGGATGCAGAATTGATCAGCAAAATTCAGCTTGGAAGAGAGAAACAAGGAGCCTTATTTTAGTGTCTTAATCCAATAGCCTTTCATTATTTCTTAAAATTAACATGATTCGTGCCTATTTTCAGAATCAGTGACTGCAGGACGAATCTTTGACATTAGCAGTGGGCTCTGGGAAATTCTGAGGGGGTGGTTCATTCCCATTCTCTCCCCTCAGGGCCACATGATTGTAGTCTTAACTTTTGCTAGCCAGTCCTGCTCACAGTGACGTCACACTGCTTCATTTTCTAAACCAGGATAGCCCTAATTAACCTGTCATCATTGACAATGAGAACATATAAAAGAGAAAGTTGAAGAAGTATGAGTATAGAGATTTTTACCTTATGGCAACTACTGTGTGAATCTGAGGTGACACCTTTCTTATTTAAATTTTGGATTGTGGAGTGTTTAATTTTTGATAAATTCTAAAATTTAGATAAATATAATGAATACCACAGTTTATAAAAAACATGAGCTTCGCCAGTTAGGTGTAAAGATGAAAGTCCTCTTAAAAATATATAAAAATAAAGAGATCTTTTTCTATCTCCTTTTATTTGACTGAAAGGAATTCTAACCAAATAAATTCTTCTAAAAGAAAAAATGTTCATGAGCCTAAATTGACTTTTTGGGTCACTAAATCTTGTGTGAGGCACATGAAAATAATCCATTGGTCACTTAAACTCAAATGAATAAATAGGCAAAGATGAACTAATCTATTGCTGTGACAGTAGCCTCTGTCTTATACTGACACATCTCCTGCCTTCCTCAGACCTCCTACCACTAGACTATCAGTTACTTGTGAACTAGAATTGTATTTTGTACTTTGCAAAGATGCACAATAATGATCTGTTGATTGAATCAATAAATGAGCAAATTCATTAGTATTAACATCTAAATATAATGAATTAAAATGTCAGAATAATTATTACCATATTACAGGATGTCATAAAACAATAGTTAACATTTTTCAATGCTGAGGCTCTTGAATAAATAAATTTTAAAAACAAGTTAAAATAAGCTCAATTGGAGTCCTCCATTCAATAAGCCAATACTGAAAGAAGAATTTTTTCAGGGTATCCAGGATGAACCAGTTCTAGTGCAGTTGCTTTAAAAGGATGTATTACAATAGCTAAAGTACACAAAGAGCAAATTAAGGGAAGTCTACAAAGTTATGGCTTAGTTGAATTGGAGTGCCTGGACTCCCCATAAGGGCTAAATCCCAAAGGGATCAGAGTCAAGTAAATAAAAAATCCAGCTGAATTTTATCAGAGGGCAGAGTTTCAATTCTGAGTACCCCAGCAACCCAGGAGGAATTATGTGTAAGATTAGTAAAGTGCCTTCATCCACACCCCAGCCAGAGAACATTCTTCTATCTCGCCGTAACTGCAGGGAAAACAGCAGTGTGTTTGCTGCCAACAATAGTTGCAGCTATTCTCTAGATAGGAGCCTACCAACACGGAGAGATTAAAATTTAATTGTAAAGCTGCTGCTACCTGGGAGTAAAAGCTTGAACTCTGGCTTCAGAAATAAATTGGGACTCCAGCATATTGAATGGATGAAAACAACAGCTAGTGTGTTACTAACAGAGTGTGAGAATATGCTCCCTTGCTAAATTCTTTCCCAAACAACAACTCCTCCTCCTCCTTCTCATATCATATGGTTATGTGCAAGAGTGCTCAATGGGAACACAGCCCTTCCTGCACTTTGAACAGTACATGTACATTTTGTTTCCAGGATGCCTGAAATTATAGGATGAGGTCAGAGGGTGGTTATGTGGTCTGGATTTCCCTGAGTATCAGTTCTCTTAATTTTATTGAGCATCATCTGAAGCCCAAATAATTTATTTTCTTGAAGTTGGCTGTCAAGATGGGCCTAAGGCAATCTTAATGTTATTACAGAACTAAGAGAGGTAATTTAATTTCCCCTCAAATTCAGATAGAATGCCATTAACACTCAATCTTTCATTGAGGCCTTATCAGAATCAAGGAACACACCCAAGTTTACCACCTATTGGTATAACTACAAGCCACTGAAAATTCCCAATTTAGCAAAAAAAAGCCCAAGTTACAATATTTTAAACCAAAAGGTTTATGTAGTATTCTGTTCAGTTAACATCCCCCATGATCCTTCCCAAACTAACCCTTAGATTTTGAAAGAAGAGTGATATATATGTCTACTTTGTATTAAAACTTTTTTGACCATTTCAGAGAGTTAATCAAATTCTCTCTGAATCATTACAAACCGATGCCGATTGCTTCTTTAGAATTACTGTACATTTTTTCACAGGAGGGCAGTATTCTCTGTGTATGTGGCATAAATGACCAAACAGTTTAAGTGGCTTGCTAGCTAGAACAAGAATGAAATGAGAAGGGATCAGTTTGAAAGACAGAAAAGCAAATGAGGCTTTTACTTCCAGGGGGGAAAGATAGTTAAATATACAGCCAAATTGCTGAAATCGGTTTGGCTCAGTGGATAGAGCATCGGCCTGTGGACTGAAGGGTCCCTGGTTTGATTCTGATCAAGGGCATGTACCTTGGTTGCGGGCACATCCCCAGTAGGGGGTGTGCAGGAGGCAGCTGATGGATGTTTCTCTCTCATCGATATTTCTGATTTTCTATCCATTTCCTTTCCTCTCTGTAAAAAAATCAATAAATATATTTAAAAAAATATATATATATACACACATATACTGCCAAATAAATTCAGGGAGAGCTTTTGTGAACATCATACTTAACAGGCACGTGTTAACAAGGTAAGAGGGTGCTTTCCACAAACTTCAAACCTGAATTAAACTCTGAGGAAAAGATACAGACTTGCATTGAAAAGTTCATTGTCCTACCTTTTATTCCTTTTTTTTTCTTCCCTTTGAAAAGAAGAGTTCATATTTAGAAATTTTGGATGAAGAAGAACACAAGTAATTTCACAAATTTCTCACTCTGGAGTGATAACAATGAGAAGGAAGCATGAGAAATATTATAATACCCTTAGAGAAAATAGAGAACATTTTTTTCTCTTGCTACAGATGTCAGTTAATAAATAAAATCAAAAGTGGAATATACCAGATGGCCCAAATAAAGACTTCAGTGACACTAACAACAAAACAAAAATAATTAAGATTGTGACCTGTCACATAATAGATTCATTTTATTATCAGATATATTAAAATCTCTGATATATTGCTGTGGAAACAGCATGGCTATAGAATATTTTACAGGACTATAGGCTTGGAAACAATTCAAGATATTTAAAAAACTATATCAGTTCTTATGAACTAAAGGTGTTTCATAGCTTTGAAAAATAATCAATTTTCAAATAAAGTGAGGAAACTTATCTTCACTTCTTGTCAGTTTAATTTCTGCATGTGGCCCTATGTATTTAATAAAGAAAAATACAACTATCATGTTTTAATATTAATAGATGGAGAATATAAAAAAAATTTTATATTTCATGTCATTTCTTATGACAATGGAAAATTAAGAACCTTTAAAAATAGTATTGATTTTTCCTACAAGTATATATCAACATATACCCTGTTTTCCCGAAAATAAGACAGTGTCTTATATTAATTTTTTCTCCCAAAGTTGTGCTAGGTCTTATTTTCTGGGGATGTCTTATCTTTCCATGCGCTAGGTCTTATTTTCGGAAGATGTCTTATTTTCGGGGAAACAGTAGTTATAATTTTCTATCAAGTTCCCTAGTTATGAGGACAATCCTTGCTCTGGAAAAATGATGAGAATAGTGAACAAACCTCAAACATTTTGATCACTATGTAGTAAAAGATATTTTGGCATTTATAACTGCTTATTATTTTTAATTTTGGGAGAAAAATGTTAATTATTTTGGGGCAGAGGCTGAAGAAGTCCCAGTGAGACATTCTGTAGAGAGGTCTTTCGTTAGTGTAACATCTGACCTTCTATATCTTTGGAAATCATGCAAGTTGGCTAATGTACTCCTTAAAGAATTAATCAAGTAGATTGTTAGGCCCCAGTTACAGTGGAGCCAGCCAATTATGAGTTGCTCAGAAATTCATCACTGGCATGTCCAACCACATTTTCCCACATAAAGATTAGTAGAAATATGTGGAGACAGTGTCCATTCCCACCCTAGCACAGCGTTCAGTGAAACAAATTTCAACAACGTTTTCCCTTAACAGAAACAATTTATTTGGGAACTTTCTTGTCTTTACTCATAAGCCCCCCCCCTCCAAAACATTGCAAAGGCCGCCCTATTTAGTTAAAACTAAACCAGGGATTTTTATATTCAAACACTCTTCTGAATCCAGAGCACCAAAGTCACATGCCACAAGCCTGAATTCATCACTGTTATTGAAATCCCCGAAGACCAACACTATCTTCCCACTGCTGTGATAACGCCCTCCCAAGGCTTGCCCAGAAGAAAGCTTTGCACGCAACGGAGAAATGAAAGGGCCAGAGTCGGTGAAGACTGGCTCTCTAAGGAGAGGACAGTGCTGCTCTGGCACAAAGAAGCTCCTTTCAGACAAGCAGAATCAGATTCCAGCCCACTTGTTTGCTGGCTACCCTTACTTTGAACTCTCATATTTAACCCAGCAGGCTTCAAAGCAGGTGAGAAAATGACCTACCACTTAAAAGCAATTTTTTCTTTTTTCAGGAATTCTGGCCTTGGAGAATATCAGCTCTAATATCAGCACATTCCACATCTCCAGGGATTTATGCAATTTTTTTCATTGCTCTATGTCTAATGTCAAATTAAGTTTTATCTCAGCCAGGAAAAAAAAATCAGAAATTAAGTCCTAACTCACTGAAAATGAGGTCTTATTCCACATTACTTTATTCTACCATACAAAAGAACTTCCTTCTTTTGGAACTAAAATCACAAACCATGTCATGGGTTCCCTTCCATTTATCAAAATCTGATGTGCAGTGTAGATCAATAAAAATCATTGTTCACTAGTGTCTTGCTTTGAGAAAAAGCCATTTTTCTAACAAATACATTTTAACAAATTCAAACAATTTACTCTAGCATGTGCGCTAATACAAAAAGATATTAGAAGAGGAAGAGACAATGGTGACAACTAAAAAAATTTACTTAAATTGTTTTGTCTTACTGAACAGAAAAGCAGTATGTTTCCAAGAAAATTCTTTATTCCTTTCTACTATATCTGACTTAATTGAAAATCCTAACAAAGGCAGTTTGAAAACTTACCAATAGGTTCTAATCCATGAGACGTTTGCCATGGCTAGAAGTTGAAACCTTTCTCCACTTTCTGTGGTCCAAATATACATAAGGTACGAGAAGTACAGTCCTAACAATACTATTTACATGTTTGCACCGCCATTTACACTGTGGGAAATGCATTTTGAGTTTACACTCAGCACATAGCTTCCCCAAATGTGAAAGGGGTAAGGTCTCCTGCTATAGCTGTGCTTTGGTAATGATGACAATGACAGTGGCAACAACAGCTAACACTCACCTCATTTTTACTATGGGCAGACACGGTACTAAACACTTGACATGTATTAAACACATTTAACCCTCACACACACCAAAGACCTGTGCGGTAGTACTATTCTCACTTGACAGTGAGGGGGAGGAAAGGTTAAGTACTCGATGTTGCATAGCCAATAAGTGTAGGGTCAGAATCAAAGAAAAGCAGCCTGGTTCCAGAGCCTCTGCTCATAGCCACTCAGCAACGCTGCCCCTTCCACCTTGCAGAGGTGGTACTAACTCGGTGTTCTAAAATCATCTTTTGCGGGTAAAGTCGGTTTAATATGTGTATAGGATGGCCTGGGGATCTTGTTACAATGCTGATTCAGGCATCTGGAGTGGTGCCTGAGATTCTGCAATTCTGACAAGTTCCTGCATCAGTGGTGATGGTCCCAGCGCACAGAACAAGCTTTATTAAGTGGTGGAGATGTAGGATGCGAGCCTCTTATTCCCTTGCTGGCCGGCTGGCTGTAAGAATCACTTATAGGTTTTGTCTATACGCTGGAGACATTCCATACCACAATCATTTTCCATTTATTCTTAAATGGAACCTGCCCTGGGAACTGCTGCATACCGAATATTGGCTTGCAGGTAATTTCAGCAAATACTTAGCTTTTAGGAACTTAAAACATATATATGAAAACCACAGGGACTGGTTGTAAAAGTTTGCTGTCGGGCACATTTTTAACACTATATATCATTAACTATACATATATCAGAAGATAGAAAATAAATGCCTGTTCATTGTTCATCAACCAGAATCACAGTAAATTAATATCTTTCGGCCTAAAAAAGGAGCTTCCACTTTAAAATCCTAAAAATTCATTCTCAGACTCTACTAGAAGAGTGCCAAGGAGCTTGTGCTTCAAGTCCCTTCTGGTGCGTCCGTGATCTCAGGAAGGCAGACACTACCTGCCAATACCAATGGCAGAGCTGATGGCGAGTACATGCCACATTCATTTTAGCCAGTGCCTCATGGAAGTACCCACTAACACCTGCCCCATCTCTACTACAGACTCTGCCACATCTCCCTCCTTCCCACCGGCCTGACACAAACCCAGTACTGAAGTGGCACTCCCACTGCTTGCCTATGATCTCAAATGCAGAGCTGCATTTTTTCCAGTTGCTACCTGGATGGGATTCCCTTTGCAGGCCATTTTTTCCCATGCTGGATTACACAGTAAGGTCATTCCAGTTTGAGATGCACTCACTCCATCAGCACCACTGCAAACAACAAAGTTATGGTATAATCGCTAAGCTTCCTTTTACACTAAAAGAAAAAAGGATAGTCAGCTTCCAACCCAAATATCTATAATCCCTGAACAACAGAGAAAGTCATTCTTCTTGAAGCTTGACCCAAAATCAAGTGTGGTCTCAGACTCCTAGGCCTACAGCCAGTGGCAACTTAACACATTATACAGTTGACCTTCAGGGAAAAAGGGAAACCAGTGCTCTTACTACTGGTGCCAGAAGAAAACCAACTAATCTTTAAGGCACAGAACAAACTATTCTTAAGGCAGGAAAAGAAATTGTGAGGAAACAGGGAGTTAGAATGGAGGTATTTAGAGAAAAATATTGAAATCACATTACCAAGTAAGGACTAGTGTTTCCATGGTTCTCAGTGCTCGTCTATTTGGGAATAAAGGAATAGTCATTTCTTTTTAGGTATGAACTCTTATTACCTGGTAAACATGCAAAGATGTACAAGAAAGACACTTTTTTTTTTTTTTTTAAGGCTTAGAAACTTCACAAGAATTCTCTTTGGTGATTTTACTTTGAGCCAGTGATAGTGATTTTAAGTTTATGTAAAAAGAGTAAATAGTATGGGAGACCCTTTGTAGAATCAGTCCTCAAGTACTTTCTGGCCCTGGATAAGGAGATGGGGAAGTAGTTCAAAACCAAAGTGTAAAAATGAAAATAAAGGTCTACACATGGTTCTACACTCCAGGACAGGGAAGGTCAATGTGCAGATGCTATAACAGGGAGAACTTCTGAGGGAAGAGGCACATCTTCCAGTGCGAATGTCCTGACTGTCCCATATTACTTACTTATTCCCCATCTTAGTCGGGACTCTTGAATTGAAAGTTCAGCAAATACTCAGAACTAATAATTTCACTTAAATGGAAAAATCAAATGGCTTGTTTATAAAATAGGGGTTATTTTTAAATGCCAAGAAAATGCATTTAAAAGAACTGGATTATTCGTTAGCCAGTAACAAGTGCTATGTTTACCACCAAACATGACCTACAAAGACCAACTTTATAATGTTATGCCATTGTTTTCTTCAAACTTTTAAGCAATAAAAATACAGCTCAAATCACTGAAAAGTGTGTTTGACATATTTATGGCATCAAGTTTACAAATCAATTCCTGTAATTTACCATAACAAGTGTCATCCACCATACGACTCGTTTAGCACAAACACAGTGGAGATAGTTTCCTGTATGTTTTACAAGTGCTCTACGCAAGTCCTTGAGATCATACTTACAGCTTTAGCAAAAACACCCATGATTTCAGGAAACTGGTGTGTGAGAAGAGCTATCATTGCTGTAGAAGAACACAGTCCTGCTGTGAAATAGATGAAAAAAGGAAGCTCCTTCTTTGGGTAAACAGATACTTGATGAAAGGCTGCAAAGGAGAAAAGGGAGAAGTAGGTTTTATCTAAGAATACAGTATGAGCCAGTTTTAATATTTTCAAACAAAATCTATTTTCTAAAACTAAAAACAAAATTAATTAAAAATAAAAAGAACAAGAGGCCTCTGGCTAAGCAAGGTAGAAAAAGTTATCCATTATTTATTCCAGAATCCACAGGGTATCCACATAGCCGGAGGGCTGTGCTGGCCACTGGGAACAGGATGGCATCGTGGGAAAGAGCACTAATTATAAAGTCATGCTGAGGTGATTTTGAAAAAGAGCTTTGTCATTTATTAGCTGTGTGATCTTGAATAAGTTGCTAAACCCTCTATTAGTTGCTAAGGAGTTGTTATGATGAACATTTTAAGCCCTTAATAAATGTGAGTTATTATAATCCTTGCTCTTTGGAAACTCAGAGGGGAGTGTAGAGATTGAGAGATAGATATATAGTTGGAGATTTCCCAAAACCATCAGTTATTTATTTTACCCAGTTATTCTATACTAGAGGCCCAGAGCACAAATTCATGCAAGGGTGAGATCCCTCTGCCTGGCTGACGATCAGTGGCCGGGGAGGGCTCCAGGGCGTGTCTGGCCCCATCTTGCCCAGTCCCCATCAGCTGGACCAGAGCAGAGCAAGCTAACCTACTGGTGGAAGCATCTTCCTCCTGGTGGTCAGTGCACGTCACAGCAACCGGACGGTCAACCGCTGGGTCGGACACTTAGCATATTAAGCTTTTATATAGAGAGATGTGGCATTTTATTGAGCAGTATAAATTGAACTAGAATACCAAAGCCTAAGGATTCTAGACATAAGTGAAATCCTGTGATTATTTTACTATATTCAAACATTTAATCAGATATTATTTTTCTAGTAATTGGGTACAGTAGGTCCTCAGGTTACACTGGAGATCCATTCCTATGGTGTGACGTAACACAATTTTTGCAGTAAGTCAGAACCCACCTACATAAGCACCAACATTATTAATGTGGAGCACGTACACAGCAGTAATGAAGTAAAACAGTAAGAAAAATTTAAAAAAAAGATAACAATTCCTGACCTTTATTTGTAGTAAATAAATGATAAAAAACATAAAGCACATATGTACATAATGTCAAAATGATGGAACTTGTTTTTACGTTTATTGATAAAGGTGTTACATATGTGTCCTCTTTCCATTACTCCCCTTATCCACCCCCACTCATGCCCTCACCCCCTATTGTCTGTGTCCACTGGTTATGCTTATATGCATGCATACAAGTCCTTTGGTTGATCTCTCCCCCTTACCCCTCTCCTCCCCTACCTTCCCTCTGAGGTTTGATGGTGTGATCAATGTTTCTCTGTCTCTGGATCTATTTTTGTTCATCAGTTTATGTTATTCGTTATATTCCATAAATGAGTGAGATCATATGATATTTATCTTTCTCTGACTGGCTTATTTCACTTAGCATAATGCTCTCCAGTTTCCTCCATGCTGTTGCAGATGGTAAGAACTCCTTCATTTTTACTGCAGCCTAGGAACTTTTTTTAAAATAAATAAATGGGAGATGGCGACGTAACCACAAAATGACATACATCGAGTTCAACGTAACCCGAGGACTTAGCCTGTACTTCATTACCAATGGTATTCAAGTAGTTATATTTTATTTGAAATTTGAAAATACTTGTATAACAATGCTAAGATGAGCCTATGACAGTGCTTGGCACACAGTAGGTGCTCAATAAATGTCTACTGAACTGAAAGCTATTCTGGGGCTTCATTAGTCCAGGAAGTTGACTGCTCTGAGCTGGATGCAAACCCGAGGAATTCCTAATGTAATATCCTGCATAAGTAAGGGATGACTAATTCAGTGCTGAATCAAGGTCAGCTATAAATTTCACTTCTTTAAACATAATGATTCACAGAACATATTACACCTAAGTTTCCTTCAGTAGACATGATATTTTTAGGTCCTACACTATATTCAGAAAGTAAAGACCCAAAATCAAACTCATTAAAAATCCAAAAAATGTCCAGGGCCTTGAGTCATGTTAAAAGTGAAAGCACAACAAATCTGGCTTTTTTAAAAAGTTAGAAACATTAGAAGCTGTTGAAAACACTGTGCTTTCAGCACCCAAAAAACAGCATTCCCTTTGGCCCATCTCTCAGCCATGAGAGGCCAACCTCTTCAAGCAAACCATGAAAACCAAACCACAGCATTTTCAAAGATGGGAAAAAACAATTACGGATACCAATGGTTACTATACTTGATATCATTTGAGATACAGCAAAATTAATAATATTAATTATACTGTACAGCATTTTATGGTTTATAAAGTGCCTTTTCATTTATATTACTTTTATATCTTTTAATGTAAAAACAATATAAATTACTAAGAAATAGTATTAGTCCCACTTTATAAGGTAGGAAACTGTATAGTTTTAGTAAGTCGATTTCCTAAAATATGAGATTTTTATACTGTAGAAGAGACCTAATTATTTATTGCTTTCTGTAGATTCATTTCAGTCAATGTTTAGCTAATACATCAATATAATGGATGACTAGTACAGAAACATTCCCTTGGAAGTAAGTTCAAATTTCATCACTGGCTTGTAGAGAAAAATTTATCAGGAGGCATAAAAGACAACCAAAGAGCTATGTGAACTAAGGGAATAGTTCAAGTCTGAACTTATGAGGCTCATAAGCAAATTCCAGAATGCTGTAAGTCATATCAAGGTTGAAGGAGAATTGAAAACAAAAAATATTAAGTACTTCTGAGTATTAGAACTCCACATTATTAAAAATGTGTTCATTCTACCACAGACAGAGACAGAAAAAATACTCTAAGAACATGCAATATAATAAATCCCTGGAATTTGCATATGAGTCGCACCCTAGAAATAATAAAGTCCTGCCGAGAAGCAACCGTCTATTCTTATAGCCTGTGGCTCTGACAATACATGATAATGACCCTGGTTTTAGTCATATAATTACTCTGTAAAGTTGGCCTTATATCAGGCAACCTTTGTAATGATTTTGCAGACATAATTTTAGGCTAAATGTATTAGCTTAATATAATACTCTTAAATATTGATGCTCCATAATTAAAAATGTACCTTTGCCTTAAATATCTTTGTTCCTGTTAAAATGGAAAAACAATAATAATTACTACCACTATCATCCTAGGAAAGAAAATTTCTCACCCATGACCTGCTCATTGCTAAAGTCAATGGATTCCTCTCAGTAATTACATACCTTACTTAATCTCTCAGATACTCCTCCTCACTTGGAAATATTTTCCTCCTCTTAGTTTCTAGGATATCTGCTTCTGGCTCTCTGACCACTCCTTCACTGAGCCTTCCAGACTCCTTATCAGTCACTCATTCCTGAGACATTTTTGTGCCCTCACGGTTCCACCCTTAGTTTACTTCTCACTCTATAGCTTCCCTTAGTGATCTCATTCATGCCTCGAAAATTATGTCTGTATAATAAAATATTTCATTTTATATGAACATGTACAATATATCTGTCTATATGGGTGAGATGTAATGCATGCAACATACTCAAAGCCTGAACTCATTTCCCCCCCCCCCCCCAGTGCCTCCCCACCTATTCCCAAACCTGCTTCTCCTGCTATATGATGGATTTACCATTCAAGTCACCCAAGTCAGATTTAGGAATCATCCCTGACCTTGGAGATCCAGGCATTCCCCATTCCAGCTTCCTGATAATCTATTCCATATACACAGCACTCAACTCATTGTTTATTAGTCTTTCTATTAACCTGTGAGCATCTTAGGAGTTCAGAACAGGCTAAGGAAGAAAAGGTAGTAATAGTTAACATTTCTATTGAGTACTTAGAATGATCCTGGCATGTTTATAAGAATAAATTAATAAACATGACTAATTCAAGTAATATTTCTTTTTTTTTCCCTTTTTCTTGCTCCATTTAGACCAAATTTTTTAAAAAAATATATTTTATTAATTTTTCACAGAGAGGAAGAGAGAGGGATAGAGAGTTAGAAACATCAGCCGGGACCAGTTTGGCTCAATGGATAGAGCGTCGGCTTAGGGACTGAAGGGCCCCGGGTTCGATTCCAGTCAAGGGCATGTACCTTGGTTGCGGGCATATCCCCAGTAGGGGTGTGCAAGAGGCAGCTGATCGATGACTCTCTCTCATTGATGTTTCTAACTCTCTATCTCTCTCCCCTCCTCTCTGTACAAAAATCAATAAAATATATTTAAAAAAAAGAAAAGAAACATCGATGAGAGAGAATCATCGATCAGTTGCCTCTTGCACACCCCCTACTGGGGATGTGCCTGCAACCAAGTTACATGCCCTTGACCGGAATCGAATCTGGGACCTTTCAGTCCCAGGCCAACGCTCTATCCACTGACCCAAACCGGTTTTGGCTAATTAGACATTTTAGTTTTGTACTGTTTATTGCTAGTAAAAAATATGTAATTGAATTCTGTATGCAAACTTACTGACCTTGTTTATTAGTTCTAGTAGCATTTCTATGGAATGCTTAGAATTTCCTACATGGAAAGTCATGTCATCCGTGAATAAAAACAGTTTCACTTCTTCCTTTCCAACATACCGTAAATGCCTCTTATTTCTTTTATTTCCTTGAACTGAAGTCCAGGGAGGAAAGTTGCAGATCTCCAAATTTATCTATAAGTTTAATATAATCCTTACTTAGGGGTTTTGCACTGACCAGACCCTCCAGGACAATGCTGAGTAGAATGGTGAGAGCAGATATCTTTGCCTTGTTCCTGATCTTAGAGAAAGCATTCAGTCTTTCACTATCAAGTATGGCGTTAGCTGTGGATTTTTCATATATGCTCTTTATCAGACTAAGAAAGTTCCCTTTTATGCCTACTTTGTTCAGAATTCTATATTAAATTTGCTAATTTTGGTTGAAGATGTTTATGTCTATATTCATGAAGAATACTGTTCTATAGTTTCCTTTTCTTATAATGTCTTTGTCTGGATTTGGTATCACAAAATGAGTTGGAAGTGTTCTTTCTTCCTTTATTTTCCAAAAAAGAAACATTGATATTATTTCTTTCTTAACTGTTTATAATATGCCTTCCCTTTTTTTTTATATATATATTTTATTGATTTTTTACAGAGAGGAAGGGAGAGAGATAGAGAGCTAGAAACGTCGATGAGAAACATCAACCAGCTGCCTCTTGCACACCCCCTACTAGGGATGTGCCCGCAACCAACGTACATGCCCCTGACCAGAATCAAACCTGGGACCTTTCAGTCCACAGACGGACGCTCTGCCACTGAGCCAAACCGGTTTTGGCTGCCTTCCCTTTTTAATATATTTAATCTTTGTGTCCTTCACTGCATCTAGCACAGGGTTTTATTCCAAAAATATTTGAAAATTAATTGTATTATGCAAGTACATCTAAGAAATGGCTAAAATAGTATTTAAACAGTATCCTGAAGTTCATCTCACAACTACTTTTTTTAAATCTTAAAAAAAAATGTTTTTGTTGATTTATTTATTTATTTTAGAGAGAAAGGAGGGAGAGGGAGAGAAACATTGATGTGAGAGAAAAACATCAATCTTGGTTGCCTCCCTTATGCACCCCTACTGGGGACTGAACCCACAACCTGGGTATGTGCCATGACCAGGAATCGAACCAGTGACCTTCAGTGCAAGGGACGATGCTCACCCAACTTAGCCATACCAGCCAGAGTTCACTACTGCTTTTAAGTTTAGGAAAACTAGAATATTTACTTACTAGGTAATAGCTCCTTATCAGCAGTTTCTGTGCAGCTGGGATAAGGGTGAAATAGATGGCCTTTCTCTAATGGGTATGGAATCATTCTAAAAGCTGAGGAGAAAAAAAAACATGTTGATGTTCAATTGAGACTCATTTTCATCTTATATTACCTATCAAAGCTATTTTTAAGATATTTTATAGATTTTTCACATAACGTTTTCTTTTCTTTTTTAGAGATAAATTTTTGATGAAACAAGATAAGCAAAATAATGAATAAAAGGGAAAATAAGTTTTATTTAGAGAATAGTGAATTGTCAAATTAGAATAAAACTAAAGGGAGCTAATGAATAAACTGAACTAACAAGCAAAATACACACAGATTCAGAGATCGAGCCTAAACTGGCAGTTGGACATCTCTCTCACAATCAGGGACAACTGGCTGGCTCCTAACTGCTCACCTGCATGCCAGATGGCCCATAACCACCCTGCCCGCCGGCCTGCTCGCCCAGAACTGCAATCCCTGCCAGCCTTCTCACCCCCAATTGCCCCCACTTGCTGGCCTGATCGCCCCCCATCTAACCCCCCACCAGCCAGCTCGCTCCCAACTGCCTACTCCCCACCAGCTTGATCACCCCCAACTGCCCTCCCCTCCTGACCTGATTGCCCCTAACCCCCTCTGCCTTGGCCCCGCCACTATGGCTTTGTCCAGAAGGACTTTTGGAAGGTCTCCCGGTCTAATTAGCATGTTGCCCCATTATTAGTAAAGAGGCCTGGTACGCAGGAGGCCAGCTGGTCTGCCCTAAAGGGAGTCTCCTTGGGGGGCAGGTCTGGCCTGAGCAAGGGGCCTGGGGCAGTTTGCAGGCCATCCCCCCGGGGGGGCATGGCCAGCCTGGGTAAGGGGCAAGGGGCCATTTGGGGATGATTTGCAGGCTGACCAAGCCCCAGGCTTTGTCCGGAAGGACATCCGAAGTCTCCAGAAGGTCTCCTGGTTTAATCAGCATATTACTCTCTATTAGTATAGATGTATTTTACCACAATTAAAAAATTTTTAAAAATGAGAGTTGATATTAGTTGTGATGAAAATAGTTTCATGTTGTACACATCTGAAAATAAAGTAAAACCATTGTCCAATTTTTTAAAATATTAGAATAGCTCAACTACATTAAAAAGCTCATAAAACAAGAATGATGAGTTATTTTCTTTCCTTAAAAATGTACAATTTAAATGGACATATGGCAAAATAGCATAACAGTTTCTCATTCAGCTTTTCCTAAATGTGGCACCAAGTACATTAAACATCTCTTCTACCAATAAACCAAATTAACACCACTGAGTTCACACTGAAACCGATTTGATCAACAAATCCTTATGGAAACTCAGACGCTCTCACTTAAAAAGGCTGCCTGGGAACGCAGTGACCTGTCGGAGGATCGGGGTTACATTTGGAGAACAATACTTACTGCCTTCCCACGTGCACTGTAACAGATTGAGAGCACCTTCTATTCGCTTCCAGTGCTGAAGATGAAAGAAAGCATAGGCAACTGCTTCACTGTCCCCCCGTTTCTGAATGTGCTCTGGAGGTAAAATCAGACTTTTCATCTCTAGCAAATACTAGAAAAATGACACACACACACACACACACAGACACATCACACAAAAGAAGAAAAATTATGTTAAGTTCAAACACCCACAAGAATGTAGATTCTAATTTTATAAAGTCAGTTTTCCTTAAAAAACAATCAATTATTAAGCTAATTGAAATGACATTAAGGTCCTACTGATGAATGTGTATAAAATGCTCTGTGAGCAAATTCCAATGACAGCATTATTTCTACAGGTAAAAATAAGGTGATAAATGGCTTATATGTGACCTTGTTAGATACAAAATGGAAACTTCAAGTGAAGAAATAATATGAGAGCAAATAATTATTTTTTTCAAATACTAATTAAGGGTTAAAAATAGAAACTACAGTTTTGGCACAACACTTTGTGGCAACATTTAATTATTTTTTTCTCATTTTCATTTTATAGTGAAGGAACTTAATTATGAAGAAGTTCAACTGAATTAATATTTACTGAAAGCAAAGCATTTGCTTGTTAGGGAATACCAACAAAAAAAAAATTACTCTATTTTTTTGGAACTTCTGCAATGAGACAGATTTCTTAAGTTAATAATTATGACTAGACTGTGCTAAATGTTGACTAGACTGTGCTAAATGTTGACTAGACTGTGCTAAATGTTAATTAGAGGTATAAACAATGTTTACAGGAATATGGATAGGAGGTATTCATTTTTTAAACTTAGTTTTTTAACTGCTTTATTGAGATATAATTTAAAATTTATTGAGATATACTTTACAATTCATCCACTTAAAATATACAGTTCAATGGTATTTAGAATATTCACATATATGTGCCAACCATCACTTCATAAGGAAACCCTTGTACTCTTTAGTTACCACCCTCAACTCCATCATTCCCACTAAGCCCTGAGCAACCATGAATCTCCTTTCTGTCTCTATAGATTTATCTTTTCTGGCAAATCTATATAAACAGAATCACATAATATATGGTCTTTTGTAACTGGTTTCTTTCACTTAGCAGAATGTTTTCAAGGTGTATACATGTTGCAGCATGTATCAGTCCCTCATTCCTTTTTGTGACTGAATAATATTCCATTGTGTGGATATAATACATTAGTTTATCCACTCATCATCTGATGGACATTTGGTAACTTTCACCTTTAGGCTATTTGAATAATGCTGCCAAAAACATCCTCATACCAGTTTTTATGTGAACATCTGCTTTTATCTCTTTTGGGTATATGCCTAGGAATGGAGTTGCTGGGTCGTATGGTAATTCTACGTTTAGAAGGTACTACTTCTGCTTTAGGGGCTGAAAATAAACCTCTTGATGGAATTTGGGATTGGAGCTGATACATAAAGTTGGATGGAATGTGAATGGGCAGACTGGGGGTGGGTGGGAGAAGAACAGGAGGACAGAGGCAAAGTACAGGACCACCTTGAGCAAAGGCACTGAGCCAAGAGAACAAAATGCCCTGGAGGGATTAGTGAGGGTGCTTGTTAAAGAATCGAAGCCTGTGAGTTCTCATTCAAAGATGAAATGAAAGTCTACCTGAAATTCCTGAAGAACATGTTTTCCTTAATTTTATAACCCATTACAAAATCAGTATTAACACAGTTATTACACTAACCAACTTCATATACTAATTACATGAAGATACAAAATTAATCATTTGAACATCATCTTTATATAAAGTGGTCAACTGAAAACAAACTTTTAGTTAGCTAAATACTTTCTGCAAATACTTCCCTTACTAAAAGAGGTTAGAAATGACCTCTTTAGTTTTAAATAACTCGATACTGTTATGTATATAAGGTCCAAACAACATTAACTTCTGTTATAAAATAGATAAAGAGAAACATGCCAGAGGTGTCTCAAAATATATATTCTCACATTTCAAAATCTAAATTCCTCAGACTGTTCCACAACTAATGAGATAAATAACATAAATTAGTTGAATTTGTGAAACATTTTGTAAAACTGCTATAAGCAGGAAGAATCTTAAAAACAAAAAAGTGCAGTTGTTTCAAAATTTAAGCCTTAGGTTATTAATCAATATATATATTCATATATATATATAATTTTCTTATGAAATGTTTTCCCACAGTTGAGTTTAATGCTTATCTTTAATGACTCTTACTCCTATACCTCAATATAGCTGAAATTAAAAAAAAGAAAAAAGAATAATGACTTAGTTTTGATGTAGCTAGCCCCCTCCTCAAAGTGTAAGAATGCAATTTGCTAATCAATTTACTTTAGCAGATGTCACAAGCTATGAGATTATTTACTAATCCAGTTTGGGGACTTACCATTTCCCATTCAGTTTCTTAAAGGAATGCAGCAGAGGTTGTGTCCTGGTCAAGCAAAGCCCATTTGCTGCCTGGTTGGCTTTTCTCCCCTTAGAGCCCTGGGCCTATATTCAAGAGGGCACTATTCTTCCTAATCCTCTCTAATCCTTGCCCGCTTTTTTAAAACACAGTAAAAGATCACTCGCACCAGGCAGCTGTGGGAAAATGGACTCAAATAGCTGACCTCTGACATGACTGCTTATGCTCTGTGAGTGCACGGGGAGCTTCTTCAGTCGGAAGCAAAGAAAACGCAGCAACCACAGTAAGACCTCCATCATAAAAGAGAGTATCTCATTTTCAGAAAAACACTGCTTAATACCTAAACCAACTCATTTCTATTAAAATTCTGCCTTATTTTACAGATAGAGACAAAATATACCAAATTATTTTCACTGAATTTTAGAACCCTGAAGTTTTAAACTAACCCTGTCTTTGTAGCCTCTTAGCAAGAAAATACTTTGTGATCAACAACTATAATGTGTCTTTTCGCTATTCAATAATCTAAGTGACAATTTGGATATTAATCAAACACACCTGGCATGCTTATTAGAAAATACTTCAGGAGTTTATATTTAAAAATCTTTGTCATTAAAGTCGTCTTTATGCTACCTTATTTTTTATTATGTTCTTTCCAATGTGACTTTAAAACAAAGCAAACCTTACTTTTCAGTTTCCAATAAGATACCAAAATAAAATTTCACCCTCAAAATATAAGGGAAATTTTCAGTTTAAGGAAAATAAATTTAAAGAAGGAAATTATAGGATTATGACTTATTTTATCTTCTTCACAAACTGCTACTCAGGAATTTCTGATAAGAGGGAAACATACAGACAAAAAGAAAAGATATGATTACGGTACTAAAAGAACAGAGAGGAGAGAGCCATTATCTCTGCTTGGGAAAAGTGAGAAAGATGCTTCTATCGATATAAAGGAGGCCACAGATAAGCAGGGTTTTGAAGAGTGAGAACCCTGACAGAGATGAGATGGAGCATATGTACAAAGGCAGGGAGGAATGATAAGACATGACCAATCCAGGAGACAGTGATGCTGGAGATAAAGAACAAGGCAGATGTGTCCAGGAGTAAGGCTGGAGATAGACAACGGGCCCACCCTGTGAAGGGCTTCCATCCACGCAATGTTTAAGGGGCTGGTCCTTATCTTACAGGGGTGATGGGGAATAGGCAGAGCTCTTTAGCAGAGTAATATTTGCTGTTTAAGAAGATAATTTTGGCAATAACCAGAGTAGAGAGGGGTTGTTGGCAGGGAGGCCAGTGAAGAATCTGGCTTTTTTGTTGTTGTAAATCCTTACACAAGGATATGTTTTCCAATGATTTTGAGAGAGAGTTGAAGGGAGGGAGGAGGAGAGAGAAACATTTTTGTGAGTACTCAGGGAACAAATCTGCAACCTAGGTTTGTGCTCTTGACCAGGAAGCAAGCCTACAACCCTTGGGTGTGCAGGCCAATGCTCTACCATTGAGCTACATGGCCAGGGTGAGAAATCTGTTTTAAGGGTGCAAGCAAAAGATGGTAAATATCTATAAATAATTTAAAAAAAAAATAAGCCAAGCCCCTTGCATAAATTTTGTGCACTGGGCCTCTAGTATATATATATATTTAGAAATGCTTAAAAAATGTCTGGCATTAAATAAATCAAACAGAAACTGTGATTACTTAAGAGAAGTAGAATTTAAAGGGAAAAACAGGATAAATTTTACTTTACAAACTTTTGAGGGGTCTGAATTTTTTGTAAAATGTGCCCATTACTTAATAATAATAATAATAATAATGATAATAATAATATTTTTTTAAAGAGTAGACAGTGAAGGTGCAAGATGGTGACCATGGGGGTGGAGTAGATGGCTAAATCTGAAAGACATATCCAAGGTTACAATACAAGTTGGTAATTTGGAAAGGGCAGAAGAAAAGGTTAATGAGGAGAAAAGGATAATGAAGTATTAGAATATTTAACTTGTTGAAGAAAAGACTAAAATTTTTAAAAATTCAATTGCAGATACATTAAAGTATCTGAAATATCTATTAGGTATCCAGTTACAATTTCTCATAACTAGACAGAAATGCGACTCTATAGATGAGGAAGCCAGAGTTAGAAGATACAGATTTGAAAGTTATCAATAAATAAAACCGAGTGGGAGCCGAAATGGGTTTGGCTCAATGGATAGAGCGTCGGCTTGGGGACTGAAGGGACCCGGGTTCGATTCCTGTCAAGGGCATGTACCTTGGTTGCGGGCATATCCCCAGTAGGGGGTGTGCAAGAGGTAGCTGATCGATGACTCTCTCTCATTGATGTTTCTAGCTTTCTATCTCTCTCCCTTCCTCTCTGTATAAAATCAATAAAATATATCTAAAAAAATAAAAAATAAAAAATAAAACTGAGTGGGAGATATAATCCAAGGCTGGTACCTAGTATGTGCTACAGGACCTTCCATATTACCTCCAAATCACCTTCTGGTTATGTATCGAATAAATCAGAAACTGCTGGTGACAATTTTAACTAGTATTAAACTATACACAATATAATATACTCAAATAACTATTCATGCCTCTTGCTTTTCCCTAAAAATATAAAAAGTTAAGGCTACCCTGGAAGCTCTAAAAAAGACATAACGATGTATGGTCTGATGGTTTCTCTTATAACTCTAAAACCATGCCTTTGCTTA